TTTTTCATTAGATTCATGTCTTTATGTCTCCTTTTTGTAAATCATTTTGGTAGATTAATTTTTAGCCAGTCTGATTCGGATCTGACCTTTAATTTAGTGTACTTGATGTTAGAGTCCTAAAAGGGGGGAGTTAAGGGAGTCAGGGGGTTACAGGGAGAGGAAATGAAGTCTCCCTGGATTTTGAGTCAGGTGCCTACCTATTTAAAAGCAGATACCTTCTTTTTGGCATATTCCAGATGTTGAAGTTTAACACAAAACTTTCTGGCACGACTCTGTTTCTTTTTCTGAATTTAGCCCTTTTAATTTCTTCATTAATTTTTTTTCCCCTCAGATTCTTTGGTTGGTTCTAATGTTATTTGCAAACCTCATCTTTTGCTTGACTGTATATTTTGATTGTACGTTATTCTTCTCTATGTTGTTCACTTTGGTTATCGTGTTTACCTGAACAAAGGAATGGGTTTGCTCTACTTTGGTTCTATTTTAGTGCTAAAAGTTCAGTTTTCTCAAAAGTGATTTTTATTTCTTTATTTTGTTTCTTTATTTATTTATTTATTTAAATCTTGATCAAGACTGAGCCTTTCGGGTTGAAATGTCTCCTTATGGATCAATTGAGGATCTGAAAAGGGTTCTTTTCATTGCTCTGTTGGGTGAGATTATATTTCAATTATTTTTTCTCTGTCCTAGACATCATATGGATTGATGCGACTGTCATCCTATAGTGACAGAATTCCTTGAAGAGGAGTTTGAGGTGAAGATTTCATACTTTGATGCTTCTAAAGCTATGATTTAAAGTTAATAGTCTTGAGGTTGTGTCCTGATGATTATTTAAATTTAATAACTTTGGTTGCTTATATTATTGTGAAATTTGTTCCTGAACCTGAATTAATAACATGAATGGTTTGTTTTAATTGCTTGAGATTCGTGTACATGGATTTGTCAAGTTCTGTTAATTCTAATTCTACTTTTGTTTTGAGTTTTTAATTATAAGAAAAAAAATGTTATGCAATATAGATTACATAATCATAATTATTAGATGAAATTAATCTCTGATTGAATAATTAAAGATTAAAAATTTAAGGTAAAACGTTAAAAAATAAACGCATTAGATGTGACTCAGCCAAACTCGTTGTGGGCGTGGGCGTGGAGTTATTCCACCTGTCGCTCTCTAGCTTTTGCAATTTCGAACCTGCAACATCCATCTTTTGGGACTGGTCAAACACGGCGTTGAGGCTGTTATTGATAGGAACCATAAATTGAAGAAGAAGAATGACAGAAATTAAAGAAAAAGGAAAACAAAGAAGAAGAACACGGAGACAAGAAAAGTTACGTGGAACTTGCGACATCACATTATCACCCACAAAGATTACAACATAATTCTTCTTAAATAAATATACAATCAACAAGTTAAGTAACTACTATAAACTATAATTAATTGACATAAATTACTAAACTATACAATTAATCAACACCCATCCCCAGATCCCATGCCAATTCAGCAGTCATTGACTGATCATAAGTAGTGTCGTTTGTGTTATGAATATTTGAAAATTAACTTAAATTTTATATCCATACTTTAGTAATTCTCTTGTGTTATGATATTATTAATCAGTACTTATCCATCATGTGTTTCATAACTGTTTGAAAATATGGGTTCATAAATGCATATCAGTGTTCAATTTTTTTTTTTACTTTTTTTTTTAAAAAAAATTTCCTCTTTAGTCATTTTAATGATGTTGGTTTTTATCAACTTTTTC